GGGGCGGGCGGCGAGCGGAGAGGCGGCCGGGCAGGTGCCGCCGCCGAGCAGCGGGAGGGGCTGTCCCAGCGACGTCCGCGTCCACACCGGCAGCGCCGAGCCTGGCGACCTGGCGGGGACAGGACTGTGAGCCGCGGGTAGCCGGACGGCTCCAGGCCGCCGGTGGCCCGCGGTGTCGGAGTAGGAGCACTGGGCAGGAGCGCCGACCGCCGCCCCTCGCAGACTCACCTCTGGAATGTTCTCGCTCTGACTGAACAACGCCGCCGCCGCGCTCAAGCTACCCTCAGCCCCGGCGCCCGCCCCCGCGGTGGGCCGCACTGCCCATTGGTCAGGGGTCCGCCCGTGCTCTGTTGTGATTGGCCCAAGCGTCGCATCCATCGCATCTTTCCCCACCCCCTGCTTCCTGGGGCTCCACTCGCGGCCTTGCCCCGCCCCTGGCCCAGCACCCGGCTTCCTTTTCTTCCCCTCCCCCGCCCTTCCCAGGGGCCAGTGCGGTCTCGCGAGAGTGGGCCTGTGCGCTGTCGTTTCGGGGCTCCGGAAAGATGGCGGTTGCTCCCCTCCCCCGCCTGGCGGGGCCGGGCGGAAGCGTCGCAAACGCTTCAAGCCGCCGAAGCGACACGCTTATTGACTGGGCCGACCCCTGAGGCAGCGTTCTCCGGGTGGTGCAGTTGCCCGAGCGCATGCTCGTCCCTGCCTTCTGGGTCTGTCGCCCCCAGGGCTGCCTCTGCCTCTCCCACGTTATTGGCTCCCTTTGTATTGGGCGGAAACGCAAACCCCGTTTGTGACTCGCGCCCCTGAACACACGCAGTAGTGGGGTCTCCCGGGGCCCGCCGCGCCGCGGCGCGAGGTGACCGCCACGTCGGGCATCGTTTGTCCGCCCAGCCCGGTTTAAAACCCGGTACTTGGCTGGCGACCTGTAGCCCAGGGCAGGGGCTCGGGCTTAGATTCTAGTTCTGCGGTTTCTGCCTGAAAGAGACGTTTTAGTGTATAGAAACTCTCCCGTGTTTTCACAAATGTAGATTTCGCGCAGACGTTGAGGTTGAGCTCCAGAAGTTCCCCGCGTGCCCCTGAGCCTTGCCTGGGGCGGAGCCCAGGAGGAGCCCCGGCCGCGGCGGGGAGGCGCCGAGTGCAGAGCGGCTGCCCTTTGTTCTGGGCCAAACCGGTGCGAAGGTTAGAGTGGAAAGAGCGCGGTGCTTACCGAGGGCCAGGATCGCCGTCCTGTGATTTCTAAGGTGCATAAGCCATTTAAAAATGAAGTCTTAGTGGGGGAGAACAAAAGTGCGATGCGAAATTGAGTGGTCTGTGTCCAGTCCTTCGGCTTTTGTTACAATCACACGGTGCCTCCGAAGATACGAAATTGCTAAGCAGAATGCTTCGTGCTTCGTGAGCACGGGGTTCCCCTCAGACGAGCAGCGCAGGTCCCGGAAGCGCTGTTTTCATCTCACCGTGGAGCATGACTTAGCAGTATCCAGACAGATTTGAGTCTCTTGCTTGGCTGCACACAAACGATACTATTTTAGAAACTGCTGAAAAATATGGGTGTAAAACTAGTTTGAAGAGGCTTATCTCGAAAAATAAACACAAAGTGGTTTTTCATATGACTAATGACGATGTTTACATTTCATTTTTTAAAAATCTCTACTAATTTTGAATTTTAGTACAAGTACCATCTATTTCTTTGTAACCATAGACAACTTTTAAAAACTACTGTTAGGCCATGCATGGTGCCACATGCCTTAATCCCAGAGCTCAAGAGGCTGAGGCAGGAGGATCCCAGAGAATTTGGGGCCATCCTGAGCTACACAATCAATTCAAGGCCAACATGAACTGCATAAGGACATGTGTCTCCAAAAAAACAAACAAGCAAAGTTAATTACTCCAGGGCCCATGTGGTGGCCCACCCGTGCCATCCCAGCACTAAGAGACTTAAGGCAGGAAGATTGCTGTGAGTTCAGTATCAGACTGGGCTAGCTGCGTACTGAGTTCAAGGCCAGTGTGAACTGCGTAGTGACACTTTACTCTTGAGCCGGGTGTGGTGGCATATGCCTGTAACTCAGGAGGCTGAGATAGTGCTCTGGAGAGGGAGGCAGGAGGATCGCCATGCCTTCTCCCTGGTGTGGGGCTACATAGTTCAAGGCCAGCTTGGAATTCTCAGAGACCCTGACTCAAAACAAACTAAAAGTTATTGCTCATCACATTAGTTGAATCCTTATTTCCCAGAAATGTGCTAAGGAATTCTGTTTACATCTTAGACCGCAGGAAATCTTTATTCCCATTTTACAAATGAGCAAACTGAGGCTTAGTGGGAAAAATTAAGCTGCTTGCCCCACATCACTACTGTTAAGAGGAAGAGCTAGGATTTAAGCACAGAATTGTGATCCCAGAGCCTGTTCCCTGGGCCATTATGTGGCATGTCATCTCTAGATAAACATAAACATAATTGTGACTGGGTAATTTACACGTGCAATCCCACTTAGTCCACTAACAGTCGTATGAAGCGTGTTGTTATGCTTTACAGGGAAGTACAGAGACGCGGGAAGGGCCGGCAGTTTTCCTAGGTCAACTGCCTAATAAAAAGCGGACGACGTTTGAACTCCAGCTTGTCAAATGCCCAGCTTATGCAATTCTGCCTCCTGTGACTGTCCCTGCTGCACTGGAGTGCATTATTTCCTCCAATCATGTTCATTAGGTAAATAATGGACTCTGTGCTTATGAAATCCTTGTCAAGTGAGTGTGCGAGTTGGGGCTTTTGGTACAAGCCCTGGACGGGAGGCATGAATAGTTGCTAGAAAGGTAAATTAATAAATTGGCATTCTGTTTGGTTAGATGATGTCGTCTTGAGTCTATTAGGTGTGAATAAGGTCGGTCTTGTGGCCTTCCTGGTGGGCCATCTGAGAACTGTGGCCTTTCTGGTGTGTGCTCTGTGATAGTCCCCTTTCATTTTATGTATTTATTAACTTACTTTGTGGTGCTAAGGGTTGAGTCCACAGCCTTGGCACATCACTGGACTTTTTTTTTTTTTTTT